GGACATGTATGAGGACAGCAGGACATGTATGAGGACAGCAGGACATGCATGAGGATAGCAGGACAGTGGTGAGATGTGCTGTAGGAGTGACAGATAGCTTCAAGGTGGAGGTGGGAGTGCATCAAGGATCAGCTCTGAGCCCCTTCTTGTTTGCTCTGGTGATGGACCGACTAACAGATGAGGTCAGGCAGGAATCCCCGTGGACTATGATGTTTGCAGATGACGTGATCTGTGGTGAGAACAGGAAACAGGTGGAAGAGAACTTGGAGAGGTGGAGGTATGCACTTGAAACAAAAGGAATGAAAGTCAGCCGTAGTAAGACAGAGTCCATGTGTGTGAATGAGAGGGAGGAGGTGGAACAGTGAGGCTACAAGGAGCAGAGGTCACAAAGGTGCAGGACTTCAAGGACTTGGGGTCCACTGTCCAGGAACATGGGGAGTGTGGTAAAGAGGTGAAAAAGAGAGTCCAAGCAGGATGGAGTGATGGAGAAAAGTTTCAGGAGTGATTTGAGACAAAAGGGTGTCAGCAAAGCTCAAAGGAAATGTTTACAAGACAGTGGTGAGACCAGCTGTGTTGTATGGTCTGGAGACAGAGACATGGACAAAAAGACAGGAGACAGAACTGGAAGTGTCAGAAATGAAGATGTTGAGGTTCTCCTTAGGAGAGACAAGGATGGAGAAGATCAGGAATGAGATCATCAGAGGTACAGCACAGGTTGAACAACTGGGAGATAAAGTTAGAGAGGACACACTGAGATGGTTTGGACATGTCCAGAGGAGGGACAGTGGTTTGGACATGTCCAGAGGTGGGACAGTGGGTATATTGGTAGAAGGATGTTAGAAATGCAGCTGCCAGGAAAAAGACAAAGAGGAGATCTATGGATGCAGTTAGAGAGGACATGGAGGTAGTTGGAGTGAGGACAGAGTGAGGACAGAGTGAGGACAGAGTGAGATGGAGGAGAATGAGGGAAAACCCGAAAGAAGACAAAGAAGAAGATTATAAGCACAAAGTATTTTTAAACTTAAAGTTAAAAACACTAATTTATTCATTTTATTCACCTAATCTGCAATTATTTTTTCATGAGGTATTTATTTTTATTTTTTATATTTTCAGAAACTAGCTGCATGTTTCTGCAACAGGACATTTCAATTTGAGGAGCACAGGTTGCAGGTCCCTGTTTCTGACAGAGCTCAATCAGGAGAAAGAAGAAGAAGAAATATAATGGAAATGAAACATACAATTATACAATTACAAGATGTAAATTTAAAAAAGTGACGCTGATGTTCTTTAAATATTAACTACAGTATAAGTTTTGAAACTTTGTGAAGATCGTGACATTGCTGTGACATTTCAGTGGAGCTGAGCCGTTTGAACCAGCATGAAGAGGAAGCCCTGATGACTGTCAGCTTCTAACAGCTTCACACTTCCTGTTCAAGTTTTCTAAATAAACACCTCACAACCGACAGCGGCGGGTCAAACACTGCAGTGACACTTCACACAGGCTTTATTAAAGAAACATCATAAGTCATTAAAAAAGACCCTGAGACAAATTTCAGCTAATTATTATACGCCATATTTGAGTAGCTACTTTTGAAGGTGCACGCAGCTCTAGACCTGAGCGCAGGGTCTCACTTTGTCAGAGCCAGTTTAAAGTTACCAATCTGAGCAGATATCAAAAAATAAATTATCTATCAACAAAAAAGTTAAACCGTGTCCTCTGGACCAGTTTCTTTAAGTGAGAAACGTTTTGTCTCCCATCCAGAGGACTTCGTCAGCCTACGGCCTGCCAACCAGATCTGTCCCATAGGCAGCCTTCACTGCTGCGGGTCAAGACAACTCCTGTTGGAATCTCAGGAGTAGATAGAACACGTGCGAAACACACCGTCCAAAACCAACAATCTAATGTTGTAGACCAGATGTTCCACTTGCTACTCACAGAAACTGTGTGAGGACACCAAGACCCACACGGTGCAGAAACAGCGCTGGACTCAATCATCACGTAGAGAACAAGAAAAAGGTTGAATCATGTCATCAGGACCAGGTGAGAAACTTTTCATCCTGTCCAGAGGACGTGGTCTCTCTGAGTCTGCCAACCACATCTGTCTACAGTAACACATCTGTCTACAGTAACACATCAGTAACACATCTGTCTACAGTAACACATC